TCACCTGAGTGAAAAGACAACTTGTAGAATGAGAAGAAATATTTGCAAATCATATTATTTGATAAGAGTCTAGTATCCAGAATACATTTAAAAAAAACTCTCAGGGCGGTGCCTGTGTCTCAGTGAGTAGAGCGCTGACCCCATATACCGAGGGTAGTGGGTTCAAACCCAGCCCTGGCCAAACTGCAACAAAAAAATAGCCAGGCATTGTGATGGGCACCTGTGGTCCCAGCTACTCAGCAACCCAAGAGCTAGAGGTTGCTGTGAGCTGTGATGCCACAGCACTCTACTGAGGATGACAAAGACTCTGTCTCTAAAAAAAAAAACAAAACTCTGACAACTCAATAGCAAAAAGACGAACCAATTAAAAATGGGCGAAAGAATAGAAATTTCTCCAAAGATATACAAATGGCCAACAAGCAGCCGAAAAGAGGCCTGACATCATTAGTCATTAAGCACATGCCAATCAAAACCACAATGTGATACTAATTCACATCCCCTAGGATGGCTACCGCAAAAAAGACAAGAACAAGCTTTGGCAAGGATATGGACAGGTTGGAACGCTCATACATTGTTGGTGGGAATATCAAATGGTTCAACCACTGTGGAAAAGTGTGGCAGCTGCTTAGAATGTTAAACATACACTTAACCATACAACTTAGCAATTCTACTCCTACATGACAGTCCTTGAGAAACAAAAACATATATTCAAACAAAGACTTGTACATGAATGTTCACAGCAGTGCTATTCATAGTGGCTAAAAACTGGGCATAATTGAAATATCCACCAATGGAAGAAAGTAAACAAAATGTGGCATATTGCAGACACGATTGATTAAATAATTGGCCACCAGTGATTTTTTTTTTTTTTTGAGACAGATTCTCACTTTGTTGCCCTTTGTAGAGTGCCGTGACATCATAGCTCACAATAACCTCAAACTCTTGAGCTCAAGGAATCCTCTTGCCTCAGCCTCCCTAGTTGCTGGGACTACAGCGGCCTGTCACAATGCTCGGCTATTTTTAGAGACAGGGTCTCACTCTTGCTCAGGCTGGTCTCAAACTTGTGAGCACAGGCAATCCACCCACCTTGGCCTCCAGAGAATTAGGATTACAGGCGTGAGCCACTAAAACCAGTGATTGACTCCCTCTCCAGCTTTGTGGGGGCTAAAAGTTCTAGCTCTCTAATCATGCCTTGGTCTTTCCTGTGACCAGTACCCATCCTGAAGCCATGTAGGGGACCCAGCCACTAGTCATTGCATTAGCATAGAAAAGACACTAATCATTCTAGAGATTTACAAGTTGTGTGCCAGGAAGAGGGATGGGTCAGGGACCTAATATACATTTCTTACTGTATCATACTACTCAACAATAAAAATGAACAAACATGCAACAATATAGTTGTATCTCAACATTTATATAAATGAATGGCTCAGCGCCTGTGGCTCAAGTGGCTAAGGTGCCAGCCATGTACACCCAAGGTGGCGGGTTTGAATCCAGCCAGGGCCCACCAAACAACAATGATGGCTGCAACCAAAAAATGACCAGGCGTTGTGGCGGGTGCCTGTGGTCCCAGCTACTTGGGAGGTTGAGGCAAGACACTTGCTTGAGCCCAGGAGTTGGAGGTTGCTATGAGCTGTGTGTGATGCCACAGCACTCTACCCAGGGGGACAGCTTGAGGCTCTGTCTCAAAAAAAAAAAAAAAACAAAACATTTATATAAATGAAAGCAACTAAGTAAAAGAAGCTTAACATAAAAGACTACATGTTGTGTTATTGCATTAATACAAAGTATCTGGCGAGGGGGGACATTCACAACTGTAATCCTTGTGGGAGGGGAGGATAGCTTGCCAGGAGGTAGAGACCAGCCTGAGTAACATAGTGAGACCCTACCTCTACAAAAAATAAAAAGACTGGTGGCGCCTGTGGCTCAGTAGGTAGGGCGTCAGCCCCATATACCGAGGGTGGCGGGTTCAAACCTGGCCCTGGCCAAACTGAAACAAAAAAATAGCTGGGCCTTGTGGGGGGCACCTATAGTCCCAGCTACTCAGGAGACTGAGGCAAGAGAATCGCCTAAGCCCAGGAATTGGAGGTTGCTGTCAACTGTGTGACGCCATGGCACTCTACGGAGGGTGATAGAGGAGACTCTATCTCTACAAAAATAAAATAAAATAAAATAAAATAAAATAAGTTAGGCCAGGCACGGTGGTTCAGGTGGTTCAGACCTATAATCCTAGCCCTCTGGGATGCCAAGGCGGGTAGATTGCTTGAGCTCACAGGTTTGAGACCTGAGCAAGTGGGGGATTCCATCTCTAAAAATCTATATCCAGGGCCTGTAGTCCCAGCTACTTGGGAGGCTAAGGCAAAAGATCACTTGAAGCTCAGGTGCGTTGGCTCACACCTCCAATCCCAGCAAAGGTGGGTGGATTGCTTGAGCTTACAAGTTCAAGACCAGCCTAAGCCAAAGTGAGACCCCCATGTCTAAAAAATAGCCAGGTGCTGAGGGGGGCACCTGTAGTCACAGCTACTTGGGAGGCTGAGGCAAGAGGTCACTTGAGCCCAAGAGCTGGAGGTTGCTGTGAGCTGTGACATAGTGAGACTCTGTCTAAAAAAAAAACCCAACAAACTATATGAATCTTATAGTTTGTAAATTATACTTCAATAAAGCTGTTAATAACCAACAAATGATAGCAGGGTAAAAAATCAGTATCCTGAAATCTGAGCAGCTTCCTGACCTTTGGATGAAGTTAAGACTGACTTACATTCCTCTTCAAACTCACCCTCTCCTCTCTCCAGCTGAGTCCTGCTTACCACGCAGACCTGCACCCCTAGATGAGGTGGGAGCTCCCTTGCACCATCTTTATCATCTGGCAACCCCCACTTTTATTGTCACTCCTTGTTAACAGTCTCCACTGCTGAAGGGCAGTGCCCTTGCCTAGATTGTTCCCTCATTGTGTGTGGCTATCTTGCACAGGTGCCAGTACACAGGAAATGTCTGTACATGCTTGCTGAGTGAAAGAATGAGACTGGGTTAACCCAAGTCTAATTCAGGAGCAATGGAGGTGCCTGTGGAGACAGAGGAAAGACTGGAAGAAACCAGCCTTTGCTCAGCTCCCCATGGAGGGGCAAAACCTCCATGCTGCCTCTCCTCAGAGTTAGAGCAGGCAGGGGCCTCTAGTCTTGAGCATAGGAATGCAGCTTTATCTGGAGGAGCTTCAACTTCTCTTGTCTAGGCAACATTCTGCTTTATTATGAACAGAACCATCTTCTGCAGGCCCTCCATGTCCATTCCAGCTGGTTCATCTTGTCCCCACCAGGGAGTCTAGGCTGGGGATATAGTTGGGTCTGGACAGCCATGTAATGTGGGTCAGGCTTTCTGGCATCAAGCCCTGATTTTTCCTCATTATGAAGCTCAGTTCCCACCTCCCTTCTCCCAGGTGGCAGGATATCTGCATCTTTGCCTCCTCCTTGGAGCCTTCTGTGAAGTATCCACTTTTGTGCTCTGGTCTAGTGGCTTCCCTTAATACCGATCCGTTGGGCGGCACCTCTGGCTCAGTGAGTAAGGTGCTAGCCCCATATAACAAGGGTGGTGGGTTCAAACCTGGCCCCAGCCAAACTGCAACAAAAAAAAATAGCTGGGCATTATGGCAGGCGCCTGTAGTCTCAGCTACTCGGGAGACTGAGGCAAGAGAATCACCTAAGCCCAAGAGCTGGAGATTGCTGAGTTGTGATGTCACAGTACTCTACTGAGGGTGACAAAATGAGACTCTGTCTCCAAAAAACAAAACAAAATAAAATGATCTGTCCTCTGAGTTTCCTTTGGGTAGGCTTGGAGAGCCAGTAGAAGGGGCTGAGCCCAAGTAGTGTATCTCAGCAGAGTGGGAGGAGCTGGAAGTCTGTGGTAATAAGGGAAACTTAGATGGGGCTAATTTGGAAGCCCAGGGGCTGGAGAAGCAAGTTAATCTACACACTCAAGCCAACTGTGACTCACAGGGAAGTGACTTCAAAACAGCTTTCACAACCCCTCCTGGACATTAGCCACCTTTCCCTTCCCAGCTCGCTCTGTCTTGGCTTCAGGCCACTCACTCCCTCTGATCCTTTCTTTTCTTACCCACAACACTGGAGAGAATAGGGCTTAGATGATGAATAAGAAGACATCCTTGTGTTAAGAGCACTGACTTTGGAGTTGTAACATCAGGTGTTCTTGTCAGCTCTGCTAATTTGCTGCATGAGCCTGCAGGTCATTGGGCTGCTCGCTGGGCTCAGCTTCTCTCTTCAGTGAGAGGATTGGAATAGATAAGGTCCAACAGACTTTCAAGTATGAAACTTATGCTTCCTTAAGAAGCCAAAGTAGGGGCTTGGCGCCTATAGCTCAACCGGCTAAGGCGCCAGCCACATACACCTAAGGTGGCGGGTTCGAATCCCCAGCCTGGGCCCGCCAAAACAACGACGGCTGCAACCAAAAAATAGCCGGGCGTTGTGGCGGGCACCTGTGGTCCCAGCTATTTGGGAGGTGGAGGCAGGAGACTCGCTTGAGCCCAGGAGTTGGAGGTTGCTGTGAGCTATAATGGCACGGCACTCTACCCAGGGGGACAGCTTGAGGCTCTGTTTCAAAAAAAAAAAAAAAAAAGAAGCCAAAGTAGGGCAGCGCCGGTAGCTCAGTCAGCAGGGTGGTGGTCACATACACTGAGGTTGGAGGGTTTGAACCCAGCCTGGGCCCACCAAACAACAATGACAACTGCAACAACAACAAAAAATAGCTGGGCATTGTGGTGGTGGCCTATAGTCCCAGCTACTTACTTGGGAGGCTGAAGCAAGAGAATCTTTTAAGCTCAAGAGTTTGAGGTTGCTGTGAGCTGTGACGCCACAGTACTCTACCCAGGGCGACCTAGTGAGACTCTGTCTCAAAAAACAAAAAAGCCAAAGTATTTTACCTGGCAGGGGAGATACCATGAAGGTAGTTTTCCCAGGGCAGGTTTGGTAGTTTTTCCATTGCACTTCAGATATGCTGACCGCTGTGCTTTCCCCAAATGTGGGAAACTTGATTGCATAATTTGTGGCAGTGGGGAACTGTATTTGTGCTCCCCCCCAGAAAAGTCAAGGTATTGGAGCACTGTGGAGAAGAGCTGTACGTGTATAATGGTGTGGCTGTAAAGGAGTAGAGTCTAAATTGAGTATGGGCTTGAGGTTCCCAGGTATAGCTTTGACTTCACGTGGTCACCTCCAGGGCTATTCACCTAGCTAGGGCTCAAGGGCCCCCCTAACAGACCCTTGTCCTTCACACTGCCTCCAGACCAACCCCACGGCTTATTTTATCTCAGAGGTAGGTGTCTGACAACAGTCTCTTGGCCCTGCCTCTGCTCCCTTCCTTCCAGCCTTGGTGCTGGTTGATTCAGAGTAGAGATTTCTCCTGAACTGCAAACTCTGGACAATGAACTCACTCCAGGGCTCAAGCAATCTTCCTATCTCAGCATCCTATAGTGCTAGGATTATAGGTGTGAGCCACCGTACCTGGCCTAATTTATCTATTTTTATTCTTTTTTTCTTTAGAGACTCATTCCATTGCCCTCGGTAGAGTACCGTGGTGTCCCAGCACTTGGGCTTAGGCAATTTTCTTGCCTCAGCCTCCTGAGTAGCTGGGACTACAGGTGCCTACCACAACACTGGGCTATTTTTTGTTGCAGTTTGGCCAGGGCAGTGTTTGAACCAGCCACCCTTAGTATATGGGGCTGGCACCCTACTCACTGAGCCACAGGCACTGCTCATATCTATTTTTATTTGTTTATTTGAGACAGAGTTTCTTTCTGTCACTCTGGATAGAGTATCATGGTGTCATAGCTCAGAGCAACCTCAAACTCTTGGGCTC